TCTCTTTTTGATGGGGGCGTTTTAAAACGCACAACCACACAACATACACAAGTACATACAGACATACACACACGCACACACATACACTACATACCCTCTTTGTTCCGTGAATGGGTTTTCTTATCGCTGTTGGCCGTCTCCTTGAGCGATTTGATGGAGCCCGTTGGACTCTTTGTATATTGCAGCTTCTCCGGCGAACTTATCGATACATCCGCATTGCCCACAATCTGGCAAATGTCCGGTGAGTTGGGCGTCAACGAGGTGCCAATGCCCTGCCGTATGGTGGCTGACGAATATGTTTGTAGCTTGGGATTGCTGTTGTTGTTGTCGCTGATGATTGCGCTGCCGCTGTTGTTATTGACTAGGCCGTTGGCATTGCTGTCGGCGGCACCCACAAGTGCCGTTGTCTACAAATTATGAAATAAAATTGTCCAATCAATTTTGCTGAGAATCTTTATAAGCCAGCTTGCGCATACCTGTTCTGCAAAGAAATCCTGCTGCCCCAGCAGCCGATCCGTTTCCAGATCCGTGTCGGCTTCCTCCTCTTCGTGCCGAGTGGCAGCCGTTGCCGTCGTTGTTGCACTTTTCCGCGGCACCCAAACCGGCGAATCTGGATCCACCGGCAGCACTTCGTCGCAAAACTTCAGCTTGTCCGGCTGTGTTTTGGCGCGCTGCAGTGCTGAGCGTATCTCTTTCATTGCCTCTTGTATCTCGACTGGGGCTGCAGCTGCTGCAGCTGGCTTGCTGCTGGCTGTCACTGCCATGGCAGCCGCATAAACTGGGCTGTAGTGTGTTTCTGCGGGACTGTCGCTATCAGCATTATTGCCAGCGCTCAGATCAAGCTCTGCCGTTGGCTCCGGCTCCGGTTCCGGCTCTTCGCACGGCACTGGCGAGGGCGTGACCGTTGGCGTTGCCGGCAGCGGCGAGGGCGTGCTCACAATGTCACTCGGCTGCGCGGCATTTATAGCTGTTACTGTTGCTATGATTGTGGTGCCGTTGTATTCGTTCTGCAGCCGCTCGTTGTCGCTGTTGCCATTGTGCTCGTGCTCATGATTAATTTGCGGAGGCTGCTGCTGCGACTGAAACTGCGTTTGAGGTTGCTGTGGCTGTGCCTGTGACTGTTGCTTGTCGCAGACGACGGATACATTGTTTTCTGTATCGGAGGCATGGCCACTACTGAGTCCATCCTCCAGCACCGGCATGCTGGTGTAGAGCTTACCATAGTCGGTTGTGGTGCAATTTATATCATTCGATAGGCTGTCTAAATCGCCACAGTTCGAGTCATAATCTGTTGTCTCCGGCGACAGCGTAAAGTTACGCGAGTGCCGTCGCAGATTGGCTTCCAATTCTGTGTCGGCCAGGTCGCCGCTGCTGCGGCTGTTCGAATCGATATACAGCTCGATGTCGTTGTGCTCCTGGTAGGCATTGTGCTCGTTTGACTGTGAACAAATATTCATTGGCATAAACAAGAATATCCACAATATTGTTAAGCGGAATATACCCTATGTCCTGGCCTCAAGTACCCTAACAGACATTGGTATTTATCTCTCGTATGCGTAGGGTATCAAAAGCATAGAAATTTACCTTGTTAAAGGATATTATTTGAGACAATGAGAATCGCCTAGAAAGGCGATATTTTAATTACTTAAACGAAACGTCTATTTTAAATTCATTTTATGTAACATACATATATAGCGTGAGATTATGAAAATCGCACAGACCCCATTTCGGGAGGAGTGAGTCACATTAGGAGTGAGAGAGAGACATAGATTGAACGAATATTAAATACATAAGCCCTACGTGATAACGTCATAATCGCATAGAAAGGTGCTTTTTGAAGAACGCTATTTGTGAACAGACCTTCAGACAAACCGCGAACTGATGGAATATCGCAAAGACTGTCATCGCCATTTTTACTCAGATTATAATTAGAAGATATGACAGCTTAATATAGATAGCTATATTATATTTCAATGACTGCAATAGCATACTCTATATTCTTGAGCATATTTTTTCAATACATTTTGAAAAAGAAAAGTATATATATATATAGACGGACACTGACTGGTATTTTAATAAATGTGGACGGCCGACTCACCTGCATCCTGGGCGAGCGATGAACCATGTAGAGCTCGTCTTTGGGTATTCTAGCTAGACGCTGGCCAATGTAAGCTTGCTCGATATGTTTATCCACATCGCATACACGCGGCTGTATGTCCTACGGGCAGAAAAAAACACTTTACTCTCGAGCTAAGGTAAAAAAATTGTAATAAACTCACCGAACTGGCCACATCGTCGCCACTTTCCGTTGCATAGTCTGTAAACCGCTTCTCGTCGTCCTCGGGATTCCCTTTGAAGAACTCCTCGAGCACTTTGCGAGTCTCAGAGAACTCGTACAGATAGTCAAAAGTGGGCGTCTTAGAGTTTGCCGTTGTTGTGGGCGTACCCTCATGATCGAGCAAATCAATCAGATTGCCAACGGATGCCTTTACATTATTATCCATGCGCTGCTTGACAGGTGAGACACGCTGCGGAAAGCCGGGCGGTCGCTTCGGAATGCCAGCGCCCTTGGCGGACGCTTGCTGATTGCCAAAACGACGCGGCGAGCCCTCATATTCGGCTATGGGCAGTTGGCCAATCATTTTGGTAACCTTTAGCACATCCTCGTTGATGCCTCTTTCTGGGGCCAGTGGCGCTGATTTGTTAATCCAGTTGGTGTCGATGTCATCAAACACAACAATCTCGCCATCCCGTAAACACTGGCCATCGGCTTTGCCCACATCTGTTGGCGAGCCGGGACTCGCTATGCCCTATGGAGGTAAGCAAAAATGGATACAGTTCAAAGCTATGCAGAATGCTGTCAAGAGTTACCTCCGGTTCAAATTGGCTGCTGCCCGGACTGCGGCCCACGCGTATCTGATGTGGATGCGGCCGCTGGTAATAGTATGCCGACTGCTGCTGCGGTTGCTGCTGTGTCCCCAGGTATCCTCCAGGCATCTGATTAGACGGGGACACCTGCTCAAATGCCTGATGATGATGCATGGGCGCATACTGAAGCTCAGCATTCAGATCCGGTGAGTTCAGCACGGTGCTGGCTGGCGTCACGTTCGGGCTACGTGTACGCATCTCCCAAACGTAGCGCTCCTGTGAAGCTGGCTTGCAAGCAGCACTAAAGTTCATGTGCAGCTCCGTATGAACGCCAGCCACATGATTCACATTTGGCTCCACGGAGTCGTTGCTGCTGTCGCTGCACGAGTTCATCGCGAACGCTGCTAGTTAACTGAAGTTGGCAGCGCTTTGTGGCGCTTGAGTAAAGGCTACCTTTCAGCAGCCGGTGGTAATCTCAACTGCTGCTGGCATGCTACGCTTGGAGTCTGTTGCCTGGAAAATATAAAACAGGTCGGAGATTAGCATATCAAATTATATGTGCACACCTCCCTTTGTGTGTTTGATGATCTAATACTATAAACTGTCTGAATCACTGTAAATGCAGCGGCCCAGCTGATGCAAATGTTGTTGTTGTTGTTATTGTTGCTTTTGTTAAGCGCTTGGAGTTGTGCACAAAAATCAATGCACAAATTGGCTGCACTTTGATGTTTCTCAGAAGTGTTGCCCATTCAGCTATATTCTAGCTAAATGTGACTATTTTCAGAGGTCATTAGCCAGAAAAATTATGACATTTTACTGATTTAGCTATTTTTGGCATATCAATGACAAGTAGTTGCAGCCAATTTGCGCTCAGAATGCTTATTCAGTTATTTTTAGCTATTTTGAGCATTGGATACAGCTACTTTTTTAAGGCGGCAGTTGACAACACTGTTTGTGCGCATCAAATTACACACGTATGAGCAAACTTATGCCGCTCAGTGTATGTGTGTGTGTGTGTGATGTTTTGTGGATTTGCGCACGTAAACTTGGCCTCCAAAAATTGTTCGTGCAGCCGACAGGATGCTGCAGCAGAAACAAAGGCGTAAGAGTCAATGCGTATGTATGAGTCAATGTAACTACAGTGTTCGCTCGCTATGAATAACACATTATCAAAGAACGGCGTCACATTCGTTGCTTTTAAACTGAGCCAGCACTTAGCTTGTTTTTCTTGCACTTTGTTGTATAGTAGTGCATGCAACGCAAATGTCAGTTGGACCAGCAAATATACAAGAGAATACGTTTTGGGCTTATGGCAAATGACGGTTGTCTATAGCAAATATTTACTGTACAGCTGTCCTCAAATCGTCAAAGGACGCAGCAGGCCGCCGGGTGTTTTGTTTTTGGGTAACACTGGCGTCCCCCGCGATTGCAATGCGAGCATCTGTCACCGTCTTCTACTTATCTTTTGGGGCCCAGAAATGGCGAATTGGATGACACCAAAAAAGCGCTATGTACATGCAAATGTGTGAGTGCGTGCGTGCGCGTGTGTTGCTCCACCAAAGTGTGTGTTTATGCGTGTGTGTGCCTCGTATTGGCATAGAGTATTGTTAAAAATCAATATATTTGGCAAGGTTTTGCGTGGACGACGTTATCCGCACTGCTCACAACAACAACACTTAACCTGCCCGCCAGCAAAAGCAGCAGCAGCAACAACAACAACAACAACAACGGGCAGCATAACAATGCGTATTTTCTATATTTTTGGGTGGCGTTTCGCCCGTCGACACGCAATAAATGTGTTTCATTACGATTTGTGCATAAAACAACTATATCCGATATAGTCACACATGGATTCTGCAAACGCTCATGTATTTTGCATGTTTTACACGGCAAATTACCATTTAATACATTTTATTCACTTTCTTCGTGCTAGTAAATGCATTTACAACTCGATAAAAAAAAACCAAGAAGCCGTTAGTGGTGGACAGCCATTCCGATTAATTTGTACTGAGTCAATAACTACGAACAGACTTATCGATGTTGCGAACCGATATATCGGTATTTAATGTGATTGAGTATGCGATGTTCGATAACGAACGCCGTCAGTTACAGAAGAAAACACACTACCAAACGAATCGGACGTACTGCGGATCGTGACCCGTTGCGCGCGTTTAAAGTGTGTGTGGTTATTTTTTGTTGTTGTTGTTTTACGTGCAATTCGACGCGCGCGCATATTTGTAAAATTGTTTGTTGTTGAACAAATATGCAATAAACAAAAGTGAGTTAAACTGAGGCGCTTTTGCCAATGTGTCCCAACTAAATTTGTTTGCTCATTAACTTACGCCCAAAATTCCATAATATACACTTGTGTAGATGTAAGCCGCCTTTTGAATTGAGCCAGTGTCTAACTTAATTAGCGTGCGCTGTTGCTGTTCAGATCCCAGTATCCCAGGATACAGATACACATGCCAATGCTGCTGCAGCAGCAGGGTGTGTTCCTGCCTGTGCCTGTTTGCCTGTGTCTGTGTCTGTGTGTGTGTGTGTGCGTGTGCCTGTGTGGGTTGTGAACCTGTGCTAAAAATCAATAAAGCACGCTCGTGCAAAAGTCAAACAACAAAGGAACGGTGCCTGTCCTGCTCCTGTTTCCCTTCCACTTGCACAAGTACACATAGGCGCACATGTGCGTGTGAGTTTTCTGGCTCATTTACTTATTTTTTGTTTTGTTTTTTTTTTCCTGCTTGCTTGTGCTTGTGTTGCCAAGAAGGACGCCAGCTGAAAGGAAAAAAAAAAAAGAAAAGAGGAGCAGCTAGAAAACTTGCCAATTATGCGCATCGCTTTGTGCAATTGAAATTGCAGGTAATTTCACACATGCTCGTAATTGTTATAATATAATTATTGCGCTCAGTGCATCGGCAGCAGCAGCAACAACAACAATAAGCGTTAAAATAATAAAACACCGTTAAATGCGCGCGCCTACTTAGTCGAGCGTGACCAAAGCACTAAAAACCCGTTGCTGTTGTTGTTCTTGCTGTTGTTGTTGTAAGTAGTTCTTGTTGTTGTAGCAGCTGGCAATTGCAAACAACGCAATTGAAAACGCACTTGGCAACGACAATGAACAACAACAAACGTTGTTGCCTGGGCAGCTGCTGTATTATCCTGTTTAAAGTTGGCAACTCCGTGTTGCCTTGAAAATTAATCCATATACATAACTGGGCAAGTGGAAATGAATGAACACCATCTCAGATAGCCGGTGAATTTACCAGGCTGGCAGAACAAATGCATATCCACAGCTTCCTTTGGAGATGTATTCAAGTATTTTTGGCAGGTTTTTATATTTGTAAATTTCTCTGTAATACATTAGCTAAGTGAAAACGATGAAAAGCATTTTGGGATTCAATTTAGACTTATTCGTAAAATGCAAAAAGCTTTGATGATAAGTTTGAAGCTGAAATAAAACTGTATTTTTGCTCATTTTCCGATCTTGGGTATACATTTTCCATCATCATTAATTTTTCTTGCACAGCTTCGGAAACAACTTCAATCTTCGCCCTTTAAAACCTTGGAACCATAACATACATTCCATCAAACTAAGGTGTATTTGCTTTCACGGATATTTTAACATTCCTTCGTTAACATTAATTTCTTAACATTCCGATAAGAATATACCGACTGCGCAATACTCTTTTCACCGTGAGATAGCATCTGAAAGCAGGTAGAGACTCTTAAAATGTGACTAAAAATGCAATAAGTTTTACGAGCTTCAATCCTGCTATGGAATATTACTTGTTTGATCTGTAAAGGATATCAAAGGTACCAAATAACACTTTTACTTGTTAAGAAACTAATAAAATAAAAAGCAGTTGATTTTGATAAATAATGGATACAACTTCTTAAACAAAAGCTGTTATTGAACTTTAGCATCCCAATCGATCGTATTAATGATTAACAATTTAATTGCCTTGGAATAATTATGTAAGGGCATTTCAAGTGCGATCAAGTGCTAAATTTCATTGTTAGCCACTTTTTGTCGGTCTTGTTAATTGCTTTTTGCAGTTTTCTCGTTGTCTTGGCCCAAAACATTCGCCGACGTTTGACAACGACAATTGAAAAAGTTATTAAATTTTAGCATTTTGTCTGCTGTTCCTTATGCTTGAATTTTTACTGTTCTCATTGTTGCTGTTGTTGTTCTTGCCAGCAATTAAAAATGCAGTAAAACGGGCCTTACAGTTAGACGTAGCCGTTCTTAACTGCACTCTGGTAATTTAGTAATACATTGTATTAAATAATTAACGCTTGGCTGGCATGCTCTGATTGGGATTCAGATTCAGATTCAGAACAAAAGACGCACTCAACAATCTTTAACATTAGATATCAGCCAACAGCTATCAACTATCAGCTAACAGCTATCGGGGCCATCGGCTGTCTATCAGCTGACATATGCCAATGGCTTTTATCTAATCGGAGTAGTAGACTCTTCGGCTCTGAGTCACCGCTGTTGCAAAAATCGTAGCCAAGTGCAAAAGTGAAAAAAATTAGTCGCTCGCTAAGTGGAATACGTCTCCTCCAATTGCGATTCTAATTGGATGATAGTTATGTTAATATCGAAAAATCCAATTTGAATGTGCTGCCTGTGTTAGGCATAGAAACAGTCAAGTAAAAATATATATGTACATTACTGATTAGCATCAATTTGCGACTCGATGTACTTGTGCCTGAGCATCTGTTACTTCCCATAATAATTATAGTATATTAGTTAAAAAACTATCTTAATACAACTAGGTACAGATTGCTAGAGTATTTTTTAATACCTCGTATTCCAAATATCAGTTAAATCTTGATAGAGTCAGATACAACACATATAACATATAACTAGTGCAATCCATTTTGTAAAATAATTTTTCGTTTAAAAACTCTATATTTTAAAGTCTTTAATTGCATTTTTTATTCAAATTCTATCTAAGGAATAATAATAAGAAAATGTGTATAAATTAATTTAACTAATTTTAAACTAATTCAAAAAAAGTAAACAATTTTTGTTGAAAACTTTAAAAACGGGTCTTCAATAATTATTAGTTCTAAACTTACAAGTTCTAGTACAAAAAAAAATAAAATTCGTCTTGATCATAACTTGACTCGACTCTAGTTGACTTGACCTAGCTTGGCGATCGTCAAGCATTCGGCCGGACATGGCCAAGTCGGTTTCCCATGTCGTAGTCCAGTACCTGTGTAGTTGTTGCCTCTCTTTATTATTGTGTGTTGGGCCTGTGGTGTGTGCCTGTGTGTGTGTGTGTGTGTGTGTGTGTGTGTGTGTGTGTGTGTGTGTGTAGAACAAACGAAAAGTCGATAAACCAGTTTGGGACTTGGCTCTGTTAAGTGGAATCAAAACAGTTTAGGCACTATGCTGCGCAGGGAGAGCGAGAAAGAGAGAGAGAGAGAGATTCTGTTGGGATTGGGATTTGGGAAGCGTAACAACAGCAACTTCCTCATCGCGTTTTCATTCAATGTTTTTCACGCTGCGCAATTTCAAAAGTCAAACGCGTAGAAAAATGTTGTGAAAAAAAGTTGATTGAAATTTTATTGAAAACGCATTTAATTGGAAAGCCAGTTATGAGCAATGCTACCGAATTGACCTTTTATATGATCCACTGCTTCTTGGCCAAGTTGCACTTAGTCAGGGCTTAACGTTCCTTTGTGCCCTCTACATCAAATTTGCGCCAATGTCGCTGACAGGCAAAGACCCTGCGTTAAACGAACACTTAATAAATGATTTATCTATGAGAGGTAGTTAAAGTTAACGTTGTGCGAAGTCGTAATACATTATATGATGCAATAATTGCATATATAATGCTGAATATGTATATTAATATTTGTTTCAAATATTTCAACTCATTTTTGATCTGGAGTAAGTCTTAAAAGAGTTTGCGGCTGTACTCTGTCTTAATAAGATCTGTAAGCCTCACTAGAGACAATGAGAAGCGCATAGAAAGGCGATAGCTAGAAGAGTTGCGAGGAGTTATGCAAGTAAGAAGCTGACTACGAAACTTAGAGGGTGTGTGAGGAAGAGAGAAAGACTAAGATGAAATCAGACACAATGCGAAAGAGAATGGTTGGAGACAGAGAGAGAGAGAGAGAGAGAGAGAGAGAGAGAGAGAGGGAGAGAGAGAGAGAGAGAGAGAGAGAGAGAGAGAGAGAGAGGGAGAGAGAGAGAGAGAGAGTAAATAAATAAGGCGTACAAATTGATTATAGGTGTACTTGATGGCAAATCGCGTGACCCTTCTCAATAAAATGTATGATATGACAATTGAAGGACTTTGATTATAAATTTGCATTTTAAACTTGTATGTCAATTAAGCAATTCATTTTAAAGACATGCTCGATACTTAGCGAACTAAGTATATATGTATATATATATATATATATATATATATATATATATATATATTTATATATATATGGAGAGATCTGCAAGTAGATGGGTAGGCCTTTACCGTAGCTCGAGCTATAGCTGAAGGTTGCCGTCAGCTCAAATGGTTGTGTACTTTGCAAAAGTGCCAGCAAAATAATAATAAGAAAAGAAAGAAAACAAATTAATAATTATTGACAGTAACAACAGTTTGGTGTCTGTTTACCCATTTTATTTGTTTATTACTCTTCCGTTTATCGCATTGTACGTTTCCTTGTCTTAATTTGACTTTGAACTTGACTTTAGCCTGAGGCAGTTTTGCAATTGGAGCTGGAGCGGGAATTGAGGTAAGCCTTGGACTTGAAGTTGATGTTGGAGAATTGGAGAACGTAGCTTGACCTTGACCTTCGCCCGAGCCTAAGGCTTGGCTTCATCTTCAGCGCTGCCTGTCAGCCAAGCTTGCCGAAAACAGACTCCATTTATATATTATATACAATAATTATGTGCTAATATTTATGCCCGTATAGCCCGCTGACCCAAATGCCACATAATAAATGCAACAACTGCAATAATAGCAACAATTTGCGCGGCTCACATCAAATATTCGAAGCAACAGCAAAAACAACAAACAGCAAACAATAAAAGCCGAGTTATAGACTCACAATGGCCAAGCAATAGGCATGGAAATTGTTTAGCCGCATAAATTGTGTCAGCGGCAACAAAAGCACGTGCCTTTACATAAAACATGCATATAGATACATTTTCTATTGTTTAATAATTAAAGCCGTATGCCACAACAGAGATACAACAACAACAACAACAATGGCAATTATTCAATATCTAAATATAGATATACCTAGCTTCAGACTATATGGGAAATTGATAAGCATGGCCAATATAATATTCTAAAACTTGGCTGATTAAATACTCTTACCAAGTTATACGACGTAAAGGTGGGGTATGGACTAGTTTTTCTGCAAGGTGCAACGACTGAAGCATATAGCATATAGCTCGATTCGTACTTATGTTTTTGACCACATTTTTCCGCCAAGCAAGGGCGGAATTTTCAAAAAGTTTGAGACATGCGGCAAATGAGTTTTCACAAAGATCTTTGCAAATGGGAAAATTTGACCGATCACAGATCAGTCAGTCGAGGCAAACACTTAAATCTATATTCATATTTCTAAAACTTTCTGAACATAATGTCACATATATCGACTGCCGTGTTTGGTTACTTTGTTAAATATTCTGCAGAAATGGTCTATCATATGCGGATATAAACGTGTTAATGTAAACTCTTTAATATTTTTACTTATATTTTGTTTATCTGATGACACACGAGCACCGTGTATCCGTAATCACGTTCATTCAATAAGATAACCTTGGCTGGTTTAAGAGAATATAAGAGTTTGTTTATTAAAAAGGAATAGCACGCAGCATCTTATAAAAATGT